AATGGTGCCACGATAGTGGACTAATTATCAACCCCAACAAAACCAAAATCATGCATATAAGGTCAAGAAGCATGCCAAAATGCGATATTCGAATTACATTTCATGACAATAATTGCCTACATACAAAATGCTGCGAAAGAAACCACGAAAACTTGGAAAAATGCACAACGCAATTAAAACTTGTTGATGAATATAAATACTTAGGAGTACATTTGGATCATAACTTTAAATGGAAGATACATGTAGAAAACTTACAAAAGAAACTACGTAAATCAGCGTTCGCACTATATCACCTTGGTAATTGCGCACCATACCATGTTCTGAAGGTAGCTTATTACTCATTAGTTGAATCTCACCTAAGACATGGTATAACAGCATGGGGAAACGCGCGATGCTGTAAAGCACTACAGGACAGCCGAGATAGAATCGTCAAATCAATAAACAAAAGAAATCCAACACAGACTCAAAGACACTCTCTCACTCATACAAGCGCAATAAAACAAATTTACAAAACCCAAAACATATTTAACATAAATGAACTGTACTCAATATCTGTCGCCAATGAATTTGCAGATGATCCTAGCGTAGCCAAGAAACTAGACCATCAACAAAACACAAGAAGAAGAGCGGAAGGATGTTACAAAGTACCAAAATTTTCAAATGAATATGGAAAATTCTCACTAGCTGTGACTCTCCCGAAGGTCCTTAATGAACTACCATCTGATGTTATTAAAATAAGAAATAAAAATGTTAGAATGAAAAATGTAAAAAAAAATTATTAGAAATAAGTAATGGATCCCAATGATAATGAAGACTACAGCTGTGTTTTTGTATTAATGAAATTGTATTTATATCCTACAGACAAGCCTATTTTTTTGGCTTCGTAGGACAATGTAAATGAAATTATTATAAATAAAGGAAGTCCCACTGGACAAAATAATAATAATAAAAAAACTACATTTTCTCTTTTTTGATGCTATTCTAGAAGTGGGCCGTTAGAATGAAGCCAAGATTATTATGTTTTCTGAAAAGCTTAACCTCTTAAGAGTTCATGTGTACACATTTGATAATAAATATCTGATTTTAATTTTTTTGAATTTTGGCCAATGGCAGCGACCACTATGCATAGTATGGAGGGTATATTAAGTTTGTCATTCCGTTTGTCATATCCGTTGGTAACCCCCGTCTTTCCGTCTGTTGAAATCACTCTAGCTTCCGAACAAAATGAAGTAGATTGATAAAATTTTATTCAAATGTATATTATGTCTGCAGAACATTTGGTATTGAAAATGGGATACTTCAGCCTAAGATAGAAAATTGTCTGTGCATGTCCACTTCTTTGTATAGCCCCCATATAACGGTACCTCCCGATATTCGGTATTTTGATGATTTTAGCTACATTATTACCGATTTTTTTTTTAAGTTTCGCATTTGAATATTGAAATGGCTTATGACAAATGTTACCTATGCTGGCCCATATCGTCTTATAGACCCTTACATAACACCTACATTCAGTATTTTAAAATTTTAACAGAATTTTTAACGGATTTTATTGTTTGTGAGAATTGCCAAATTCGTTTCAAATGATGGAGGGTATTCAAAGTTCCTCCCGGCTGAACTTACAGCTATTTTATTTGTTTTTTTTTTAGTTTCGCATTTGAATATTGTAATGGCTTATGGCAAAAGTTACCTATATAGGTCCATCCATACTACATTCGGTATTTTTTAAATTTTAACAGAATTTTTAACGGATTTTATTGTTTTTGAGAATTGCCAAATTCGTTCCAAATGGTGGAGGGTATTCAAAGTTCGGCCCGGCCGAACACACAGCATTTTTAGTTGTTTAATCTACCTAAGGTTCTATGTCGATTTAGCCATGCCCGTCCACCTGCTTACCCGCCTTTCTGTCCATCTGTGGACATCTAGCTTCCGATCGAAATTAAGTAAATGGACAAAATTGTACTCAAATATATTTGAAGTAAATTTTTTTGTATTGCCCCCATATAACTTCACTGGCACGTTTAAGGTAGAGATATTCGGTATTTTGATGACTTGTGTCAAACTTTTCACAGGAATGTTCTCAAATACGGTATTTTGATTTTGTAATGGGTACTACTTTCTTTAACAGAACATTGTCTATACAGGTAAACATCTTCCTATAGCCCCCGTATAACGGTACCGCCCTGTATTCGGTATTTGGATGATTGTAGCGACAAGAGTCAATGGAATTATTTTCAACTTTGTATTTGGTGTTGATAACAGGTATTATCTTCTCTCATAGAGAATTATCTACATGGACGCAAATGTTCGTACAACCCCAATGTAAGTGTACCTAACGAAATGCGGAATTGTTTCAAATTTGGTACTTAAAATTCATATCCACCATATGATACCTTCCAATATTCAGCATTTCTCCGGAATTTGTAGATTGGTATTTTCTCCCAGATAATTGGCCATCCAGGTGCACGGTTTCGTATACCCCCAATATAACTGTGTCGCCTGATATTCGGTATAGCTTGAGCGCGTTTTGTGGCATCGGAATAAAAGTTTTAGGCTCTAAATTATATTCTTTGTGACGTTAAAATAAAACGTGTAAATATTGACCCCCAACAATGCAAGCAGTAAAAACGTCGCTACGTTCAGCTGGGCTAGGTTGAAAATCCTCATAATTAGGAAATCGTTTATATATGAGCTATATCTATATTGCATATTTTGTATTTTTGTACTTTTATTTGAAATTTCGTTCACCTACTACATTCCTTTCGGTAGTTGAAGTGAGCTAGCACTTTAGTTGGACTTAATTTCATGGAATTTGCGTTAAACGGCACACGATTTAAACTCTATTATCCTCTGTCACTTCATTGAACTATGTCTATCAAATATGACGAGGAAGTTCTAAGATGTCATGTACTCATTAATTTACTTTTTCCGTGTAAATGTTAAATTGGAAACGAGTTGTTTAATCTGTGTAGATATTTCATTTGCCATTAACTGTAACACCACCATATTTAGTGGAAAATACTGGCAAAATGTAATTGAAACTTTATCCAGCAATTTTATTAACCAAATGAATTTCCAACTAATTACAAACGGATTGTATCTGAAAATTGTAGAAGGATTAGAATTAAATGTTTCCTGGGAAACGTTCAATTTTATTAACAATCATGAATGTATTCTTGTTATTGTTACTGCAAAGTAATTAAAGGTGTGTATTCTTGTTAATTGTAACGGTAATAATTTAATAACTGGATATAGTTTATTTAATATGACATGTTTGAAAATGGAATCTAAGTTAAGTAAGTGTTAAACAATATTTAAAATATTTAATAGTGGAAATCGATCGATCTTATGGTGACTAAAACTTTGCTTTTATTTGTCATTTAAGGTACCGAATGGTAAAACTCCGATTTGAATTAAATTTCCCATAGAAAGTCAAACATTTCTAGGCTATCTACCTATTTATCTCTCCATATCGATAAAACTCAATTTTTGTATGTATGTAACAAGCTGAACTGATTTTTTTGATATTTTTACATAACATTCAGGAATTGTTTTGTGTTTTTTTTTAGAAATTTGATGGCGGCTTGGCTAATCCCACACCCTCCGTCTTTAAAAATACATTATCTTCCAAACTAATGAACTCTTCAAGAATTTGAGTACAATACTGTAGGACTTTCGCAACCGATCGTATTTTTATTTTTGGACATGGATGTATAAGTGGGAACTGGTGATGCACTCGGGTTACATTAGATTGTTGCGTAATGTACTGATTCTAATGTAAATAACAATTTAACATGACCACATGACGACTTATTGAACATAGACACATGCGAATTGACGAGCTTGCATCTAATGCCAAAAATGAAACGTACAGAGACTGTTGCTGTGTAGAAGTGTAGGTAAAAGTCTGTTTGATTAATATTTTGTGCTAACTTTATTTAATTTAATGATATGAACCGAAATGAAATCAATAATAAACATTACAATAACAATAATAACAATAATAATAATTATAATAATAATAATAATAATAATAATAATAATAATAATAATAATAATAATAATAATAATAATAATAATAATAATAATAATAATAATAATAATAATAATAATAATAATAATAATAATAATAATAATAATAATAATAATATAATAATATAATAATAATAATAATAATAATAATAATAATAATAATAATAATAATAATTCAATTAGACCGATAGCTAACCAAACCTACATACAGGGTACCATAAAAAACTTTAACAAAGTCAAATGCCATAATTTTTACATTTTTCTTTAAAGTCTATTGAATGAAAGAAAAAAGTCGGAAATAGCATCAAATTTCAAAATAAGTTTAGATTTGTTTGTTTGTTTGAATTGGCCACCTTTGGTATGAATTATGGCCTTCAAACGGCCAATGAAACCGTCACACGCTGCCCGAATGTTGCTATGCGGTATTTTTGCCATTTCAGGCGAAGCGCTTGCTTGAGGTATTCGACACTTTGGTATTTTTTAGTGTCAACCTTGCTTTCCAAAATACTCCAGACACAAAAGTGCAACGGATTGGTATCCGGAGATTTTGGTAGCCATTGTGCACTAGAAATGAAGCGAGAAACCTCAGTTTGTAACCATTCTCGGGTGGCGCGTGCTGAGTGCGATGGTGCTGAGTCCTGTTGAAATGTCCAAGGTCTGCGGAATAATGTTTACGTGTCCAAGGCTTTAAAACTATATAATTTTAACAGCTGTCGGACGAGTGGCTTAGAAATGACAGTAGTCTAAAATTTGTTGCAGTTTTTTCATCTCACCCTGTACTTGTAACGCCCAATACGTTTTTGAATTTCCTTGACTATGGCCCCCGTTTCCTACAGATTTCCTTGAAATTCAGCATCTTCAACTTTGAATTGATGTTAAATGTTTAACATTAACTTTTAATTTGGCACCTTTTTACTACTACTACGCCATGTACTTGGAGCATTCTCCGAATACTTGTGGTACTGCTATTAAACCATTTAAAATTATATAGTCGATGTTATTCAATGAATACACATAGAATGGGAAAACATTAAATTATCCGTATCCATAGAAAATTTAAAACCTTGAAGAAATCTTTTGAAACATGTTTACAGCCAACATCGCCCAAATTGGAAAACAAGATTTCGCCAACTTTACCCTGCAATAAACAAGGGAAAACAAAGGGAATCTATACAATTAATCAATAAAAAGGAAAACTGTAAGGAATACACAACAATACAAATGAACGTAGGAAGCACACGTCAGATTTTTTGTTTTTAATTTGAAGAAGGAACGAAGGTCGACAAGAAAAAGCTACAAACAATCTTAAATTTGTACCGAAATAAAAACAAAAGTCATCGGGGAGATCTGTGTTTATTTCAAGTAGGCAGAGATTTTATACCAAGTTGTTTTGTAGATTTATTTTTGCCTTGGCCAAAATTTCTAATTAGAAAAGGTAGAATGGAATGCTGTTTATACCCTACAACACTATGAGTTGGGGGTATTATAAGTTTGATTGGGCCAGAATTTATGTAACACCTCGAAATATTGGTTTCCCACATGGGAAAGTATATATGGATCTTCCTAGCTCGCCGAGCTGAGTCGATCTAGCTATGTATGTCCGTCCGTCCGTCTGTCCGTCTGTCCATGTTAATTTGTAATCACTCTACAGGTCGCAATTATGGTCCGATCTTCACGAAATTTAGAATGTAGGTGGGACTTGGACCAGAATAGAACCCTATTGCTTTTGGAGATGATCGCCAAATGTTTAGGGGTTGAAATGGACCAAATACTGAAAAAATGTCGGATTTTGCAGTAGCTATACAGGTCGCAATTATATACCAATCGACGCGGAATTTCGCATGTAGCTGTAGTTTAGGGAGGGGAAGAAGCCTACCAATTTGGGTGGTCATCGGATAATATTTAGCGGGTAAAATAGACCATATCTTTTTTGTTGAAAAAATTCAAAATTTTTCATTAAACCGTGAATATTTTAAATCCCGGCGAAATCACGAAGCCATGACAAGGTTACTTCTGACCTTTACATTGATGTTAACATCCAACAAATCGAATATATAGCAAAATATGTGCCATATATATGCCTATCAAAGAAGATATGCTTGAAAGATCTCTTATATGTCGAGAACGGCTGAACTGATTTCGACAGTTCTCATTAATTCAGAATGGCCTCTTGGCATGAAAGAAAAAACGTCATAAAAAAATCGCATAAAAATATCTCTCTAAAGATGAAAATATTGATTTTGTAAAATTTTCTCATATTTTTTCAATTTTGTCATATTTTTGGCATATTTTCATTTTGAATTAAACATTTGGTAATATTTGTACAGCTAACAAAACTAAGTAGTTGAGATATCAGGATATCATATACAGATCGCATTTATGGACCGATCCTTACGAAATTTTCCATGGGGATAAAATGAGGGTCAGAACAGAAGCCTACTGTTTTTGGAGATGATCGCCATATATTTAGGGGTTGAAATGGACCAAAAAACTGCAAAATTGTCGGCAGGTCGTAATTATCGCCCGATCCTCACGCACATTTGAATGGGGTTACCGAACATTGCAAAAGCCAATCAGTTTCTAATGGCCATCCAACTTTTGTAGACAAAATACGAAAATGTCCATTCCAGAGACTTTTTGGAGAATTCACAAATACAGGAAAGACGCACTTCTGACTATTTCGTTGAAGAATATAGTCAAATGTCTGTATCTAATATAGATGCGTTTCAGTCAAAACCAATAATAAATGTTAATCTTTTGCCACTTCTGAGAGATTATAGGTCTTTGGAAATATTGGTTCCAGATCTAGGAAGACCATTTACGTGCAACATCTACCAATAAATTGGAAATGAGCAAATTAGTTTAAGTTGTTATATTTCGAAAATTAGAGAACGAAACCTGATGGCTTTCTTTAATTATTTGTCACAATATCTTGTGGAATTCTGTCGAGTATTTCGCCTATATAAACTGTACGGTTTATTATAGTGTTGTAGGGTATTCAACGGTCGGCCCCGCTCGACTGTAGCCTTTGCTTACTTGTTTTTTTTTTGTAGACAAGTTTTCTCACCATACTTTAGTATAGAGCAATGTATGCTGGTAACTCAAAGAGGCAATGAAAATGTACCAAGAATTATTTTCGATAATCTTCTTAGAATCACTTTTGGTGCAAGAATACATTAGCCTGGGCTTCGTATCCTTGAGCAAAATCTTCACAATTTATAACTGAATGGTATTCCGAATATCGATGTATGTAGACAAAATTCTTCCGATGATTTGGTGAAATCTCATTTAATGCTTATGGTATGCAACATAATTATATTTCGCTTCTTTGTGGTATGAAAATGGACAATATCGCCCAATCGTTCTCGTGCCTCCCTAACAAAGATCCAATGACATTGAAATAAGTGACCGGGAATATGAAAGAAATACGTATGAATATGAACGATTCGAGTTAAATGTTTTAATACCCTCAGCTACATGGTTTGAGAGGATATATATAACTTGATACGGCCAAAATGTGCCGTTTCAGGACATTTGGAATCGATCTAGCCATGTCCGTCTCTCTGTCTGGTTGGTGCTCTCAATAACTCTCGAAGGGAGTATCCAATTTGGGCCAAACTCGGTGCATCGTAATATTATTATCAAATTTAGATTGAGTTCGGAGATGGGCAATATCGGTCCATTCTTCTTACTTAAAAAAGGTCGAAATTTTCAAAAAATATTTTACTGTACGGAAAGAGATATGATATTGTGAGTTCGTTCCAATGTTGCAATTCTCAATATTTGCATCAGTGCTAGGTAAGGTGCGAAAATGGTCCACTCCATCAAGTACCTCCCCCACAAAGGGACAAAGTTTTGAATAGTTACTACTTTTATAAAATGTGAAGTAAGAGTCCGATTTCTTCAAATAACACACATCACAATATTTTTATTAACCCAAGGTCTGATGAGAAAATGGAATATATCGGTCCACTCCTTCTGGTAATTCCCCCACAAAGGTTCCAAATTTTGAATGACCATAAAGCTCATAAAACGTGAAATTAACATCTGTTTCCATTCAGACTTGCACTTCCCAACATTTCTATCAACACAAGATCTGTTATATAGATGGTAGAGATAGTACTATTCCTCTGGTACCACCCTACAAAGGGACAAAGTTTTGAATAACCAAAACGATTATAAAATCCGAAATAATCATACGATTTTCTTCATATTTGACACATCCCATTAATTCAACTAATACAAGATCTGCTATGACGATGGGATATACCGGCCCACTCCTTCTGGAACCTCCCCCACAAAGGGTCAAATGTTTAAACAACCATGAAGCTCATAAAACACAAAACTAACATCAGTTTCCATTCAGATTTAGTACATCTCAATATTTCCATCAACACAAGATCTGTTATAAAGATGGCAGAGATCGAACTATTTGTTTTGGTACCTCCCCCATATAGGGTTCAAGATTTAAAAAACAAATATCAAATATGCAAACATTTTGGCTAACACAAGATCTGCTGTACAGATGATATATATCTGCGAACCCCTTCTGCTACCTCACTCACAAAGGGTCACAATAATTTTATATGTCATAACTTGCGAAACAAGTCAGCGATTCTGAACAAATTGCTATATCTAAATATTTCTCTCAACCAGAAACCTGAAATGAATATTGAATTTATGGATTCGCATAAAATTTGATATTAATGTTCGATTTTCTTGTAATTTTGCCCATACAATATTTTTATCTGTATTAGATGAAGAATTGAAAATTGAATACTTTGGTCAATTATATATCTGGTGCATCACGGACATTTCAACGTTTTCTAAAAGTTATCACATATTTCATACAAAGTGAAGGAAGTAACCTATAGTCCACATAGTTCATATCTAATTGGATCCGTCAACAATTTGAATAATCAAAGCAGAAGTCAATATATGTTTAAATAATCGAACATTGGTAGGGTTTTACAAAAATTAGATGCCACAACTTTATGTGGACAAAATTTAATTTAAAGATGTAAAAAAAAATTTAAAGAAGAAATGTTTTCGCATTTTTTATTAATTCAAGAAAAATCAAATGAATCAATAGAATAATACAGGTAACAGAAAGTGTTGTTGTACAACAAACGTAACAACAACCACATACAAATTTGTTTTTGTACGTAATATAAGTGTCAGAGTTATATGTCTCAAAATGTAAACAAAACAACTAATTTTCAACAAATTATTTTAATTTCAAAAATATACCTTTTTGGAATTTGGATTATTAAATTTAAAATGCAGAAGAATAGTTCCTCAATTACTAAATTTAATTGTTTTCATATCATTTCCCTGAATGTATTGTTGTTATCTGTAGGTTAAAATCTCTCAACACTTCATGCAATCTCTAGAAAATCGAGGAAAAAGCTACATCCCTTCCAAATTGAAACCAAACTGCATACTCGTATATACATAAAGGATTCTACATTTTGCAATTTCAGGAAACATGACTATATTACCTAATGTAGTGTCGCAGTTCCATAACCTCGAAAAAAGTTTCCGCATCATCGCCGTTTTGTTAAGCACAACAGCGAATTTATCCATTATTATGCAAAAATATGTTCACATTGCCCTGCAGTGAAATTTTACATCAAAAAAGTGTATACCTATTGTATGTGAAGAAATGGAACTAAATCACAAAAGGTCATATCGAAATTGACACTAGTATTACTACAGAGTCAAATCAGCTGGGGTTTGCTTCTATCTGTTATAATTATACCATGCTTTGCATATGAATTTATTGTAATTCTGACTGTAAAATACATACAGATAATTCTCTTTTGTCTCATCTTCATTTAAGGTACTCTACCTTATAACCTAACCTTGGTTGCAACTGTCCTATTATTATTTTTAATACTGTGCACAAATGTATTAGTTTAATATACATATCTAATATTTTGCAACATTCTGTAGGTCATAGAGAATAAAGATATTTGGAATAAGTGTACACACATATTTTCTCACACACCTGGCACTCTTTTTGTTTCCGATACAAAACAATATATTTGCATGGAATATATTATAGTTCACCGCTCTAATATATTAGTAATAATATACAATTTTATGAAACAGTTTTGTTTATACATATAAATAATA